GAAAGTGGAAGAGATAGGTTTGCCTTATCTAACATATTTTAAAAGGATTAGAAGTTTCCTCTTCTAATTTCATATGAAAGCATAAAGTAGTTAATATTAATTCAAAACATAAAAAATAGCAAAATTGTTTTCATTTGGTTTCTTCTCCATTTAATATAATGCTGGCATTTTAAAAACTTTTTGGCTTTATCACAATTCTTATGCTCAAAAATTTATCTCTCAGTTTTATCTCAATTCTCAAAGTATTCAGAGTATTTTCAAATAACACTCATTACCCATTTTGGAAATGAAGAATAAAGAACAGAAATTTTAAATGGAGGTCTCAAATTAATATGAGAGACAGAGAGCAATCATAATGAATTAAATATTATAAATCTCAAATGTGTTACTTTTTTGAGGAAATTTTCGTATTTAAATAATGCATATATTTTATTTATTCAGTTGTATGATAGTGTCTAACTTATTTTTAAGATGTATTGTGCATAATTTGCAAACAATGGATCACAATACTAGAAGTGCTGATTATTGTAAAGGATGCTATCAATTTTACTATGACCTTATAATTTGATAGAAGCATAAAAAGAAAATAGAATCTGAAATAATCAAATGACTTCCTCTTCTTGAGTATTTTTCAATATTAACCGTCTAAATATCTATAGATCAAAATCTCTATATCTTAATATTGGCAATTAGTCTTAATTTGATTATAGAATGGACAATAATAGAAAAGAATAGTATCCTATTCTTTTTTTGCAAAAGAGCAAATCATTTTGTGGTTGATAATATTCCTATTGACACAAATTCTGCGAATTACCGTAAAATCAGAAAGCCAAAAATTTATCTGCTAACCTGAATTAATTCATATCTATTCCTTCAATTCTTTATAGAACTATCAATGTAAAATTTTTAATAAATTAGTAAATGTCACAGTAAATAGTAAATTTATATTTTTAAGTCTTATTATATATATATTTTTTTGATAATTCCCTTTTTAAAAAGTAAATAAAGCTCTCTCATAATAATAATTCTGTTACTATATTGATCATGCTTAAGAACTAAAAATAAGAATTCGATTTAAAAAAGAGTAATTTTCCTACTTATTCTAATTGAAAATTTATAAGCCCTGAGACTTTGCTTCTTCTATATAAAAATAACTTTTTCTCTCTGGATCGATTATGAAGAACCTATCTTTACAAATTATTTTACTATTTCTACAGCAAACATAAAAATTGCTGATTGATCTAAAGTTCAAGAATAATCTGATTACACTAAGAGAATTCTGTTCCATTTATGCGGTACAATAAGATTGGTCATCTGCATTAAAAGTCTTTAAAACTTTACCTAATATCGATAGAAATCTCTTCTAAAATTTCATTTTAACACATTAATCAAATGCTAAAATGAATATCAATATCAGTATTTAGTAGACTGATTCATTTTTAAATTGATATTTTTAATATCAGAAGAAGTATCAGTATAAATATTCTAGTAATCATAAGATAATTTGTAGAAGACTAGTGTTTATCTATCTGCCGAGATTTTTTCTTGTACTTGAATATCTATTTAAAAATTGAGAAAAAATTTCTTTTCAGTAGTTCTCCACCTAATCCAATCATCTCGGCTGTT